TCGATTCCCTCATCCAGATCATCTATAAAGAAAGTGAACATCTCACATGATCCTGCTTAGCTCATCTTCCCCAAGACAGACCCGGGCTGGGATCTTCAAGGTATCAAGGCCTGAGGCAGGTGATCTGCTCGACTATAGCATCCATCCTGGTTCTCTCTGGAGTGACAAACAATTGAATAAAATGCTCTGGAGTCTGACTTCCTGCTCAGACCTTACCCAGAGCTTGACTGAGCAGCGGTAATGGTGCTACGCTGGTGCAACACGCCTTCCCTGAAACTGCTGAAAGACGTGGAATGCAGGTCAGAGGATGCAATTCCTTCAGCACAGCAAGGAAATACAAAAGAGAGTAGTACTCAGAGTTGGAAAAAGCTGACTTGATAGCAGGGAAACATTGTATTTTATGTCAGGCACTGAGTAGAATCATAGAACGGCTTGGGTTGGAAGGGACCGTTTAAGGTCATCTAGTCCAACCCCCCTGCAATGAGCAGGGACATCTTCAACTCGATCAGGTTGCTCAGAGCCCCGTCCAACCTGGCCTGGAATGTTTCCAGCAATGGGGCATCTACCATCTCTCTGGGAACCCCCTGCCAGTGTTTCACCACCTTCATTGTCAAAAATCCCTTCCTTAGATCGTCTAAATCTACTCTCTTTTAGTCTAAAACCATTATCCCTGGTCCTATCGCAACAGGCCCCGACAAAAAAGTCTGTCCTCATCTTTCTTATCAGTCCCCTTGAAGTACTGGAAGGCTGCAATAAGGCCTCCCCGGAGCCTTCGATTCTCCAGGCTGAACAACCCCAGCTCTCTCAGCCTGTCCTCAGAGGGGTGTTCCAGCCCTCTGATCATTTTTGCGGCCCTCCCCTGGACCCGCTCCAACAGGTCCATGTCTTTCCTGTGCTGAGGGCTCCAGAGCTGGATGCAGGACTCCAGGTGGGGTCTTACCAGAGCGGAGGAGAGGGGCAGAATCACCTCCCTTCACCTGCTGGCCACACTGCTTTGGATGCAGCCCAGGAGTAGAAGAGTAGCAGCAGATATTATGTGTAAGAATCTTCCTGTCTGACAGGGCAGGACATGAGTATGTTCTAACACCTGTTAGATCACACACATAGATTCACTTGAAGACAGAAGTCCTTTCCCTCCCTGGTTACATCAAAGAGTACATAGGAGTACATTTACAGCAATGTTCAGAAATGCAGCTTCCGATCTCTGTTCTCCCTAAAGACACCTGAATTTCCATTTTCCACCTCTTCGTGCCAAAAGAATTTAGGTATTGGGTATGTTACCAGATGAAGGAGGTCTATTTAAAGTATTTTAATATTTATAAGAGTAATGACTGAAGTCTAAGTGTACCATGCCTTCTGCAAAAGTGACCTAACAAGCTGTGCTCACTCTCACGATCTCATGAATATTTAGAGGTACTTATGAAGAGGAATAGCTTAACCTGAAGATATGCACATCTGGTCTGTGACCATTTACAAGAAGATACTATTCTCAGTGTACGTGGTAAGCACAGTCTCCCATTCTGAAAACTTTTAATAGGATAAGACACATTTTCCTGTATCACTAGCTTGAGACTGTTACCCTTCCTCCAAATTTCAGAGCCCTTTCTGGTCAAAAGAGTATCAGTAGTTTTGCTGAAACCAGAATAATAAAACGTGCACAGACCATGAGTCAGAGAGGAAGACTTTTCTATGTACAAGTTAGATAATCCTTTGTGAAACACAGCACATCCCTTGAGGAACACAAATTTTGAGCAGAAGTGATATCATTTAGAAAAACTGCATCTCCAGCATAGCATTGGATGAAGACTTTTCTGTGGCCTTAAAAGACAAGGCACCTCTGCTCCTTCCCGGCTACCCTCCAGGGGGGCAGAGGAGACCAGAGGCAACATACACTTTCAGAGAAAAATCACTTTTAGTCATGCTTTACACCACCAAAGACAGCACTTTACCTAAACTCGCTTCAGCATTGCCACGTTGTCAGAAACTACTAGCAGCTACTATTTCATGTCCTATTTGTTCTGTAATCTCCCCAGTAGCCTAAGGAAGATCAAAACTTACGGGAGAACAGTAGAACTGTCCCTTTTATCCATGGCTTTGTGGTGAAAAATAATAATACAAATCAGAAATTAAATCACTAAAATTATCATGACAGCTTATTTTTAAGTTATTTTTCTTGCAGTGACACAAATTTACAAAGATCCTACTGAAAATAATTCACAACAATAGACTTCTACCTCCACCAGACTTATTTGCCAAAATGGCAAAAAACCAACCCCAAAATTACTAGCTCTTCCAGAAAGGTGCAAAAGACCACCAAAGGACTAGAAACAAACACTCATTCAACCCTGTAATATTTAGTGATCCATTTCTTAATCTGAGCAGCTCAGAACAGGTAACAGG